TAACTGTGGCTTGAATTTGTCTTGCCCGTTGTTCAGTTAGGAGCTGAAAACGCAGACAGTATCGGTGCCGTGCTGAACAGTAAAGATGAGCAGCGGGAGATCGCTGAAACGAGAGAAACGTGTAGGTCGGTATCAGCGTGTAGCTTCTGTGAGAAATGGGGGGGGTTAATTGTAGTATGAGCCTGGGAAGCAGGATGAGGTTGCGCTCCAAAGAGCAAAATAAATTCTTACCGTTCATTCAAAAGCATACAATTCAATGAAAGAAAGTGTTTTAATTACACAAATCTGAACTTTGAGCAAGGTGAGTAGGGTTTAGTCATTTGCCTCCAATAGCAGTTTGGAAATCAAGGGTAACTTTTGCTTCCAATATTAAAAAGCTACTGTGGAGGGAAACTGAGGTGTGAATTTAGAGTATGCCACCTGAATTGTCCTAGAGCCTTTGTACCTTTGCTAAGAGCAGTTACAGGGCAATTTAGTTTAAAAGTTCTCATGGAACAGTAAATGTGTCTAGGACAGAGTAGTTAGTGCTTATTAATTCTCACGTGTAACAGTACTTTTTTGGTGTGAGGAGGCTTAATTTTCTAGATGTACTGCTTTGGTTCAAATAAGCTGTACCTTTTAGAACGGAACAATGAGGAAGCGAGATCTGCTTTCAGGAGTCCTGTCCTTAAGAAGTTGTGCTGGTCTCAAGTATACTGAGAGAGGGAAAACTTCTCGTATACGAAGTTTCAAAATAATTTCAAACTTGTAACAGAAACATGGTCAAGGCAGGTTATCAGAGATTTCTGAAATGTTCTCTCTGGAGAAACTGTTTTATGTGAGCATTTTTTTGGGGTGTTTATAGGGCTGCTTATGATACTTCTGCACCAAATGCAAAACGCAAATACCCAGATGAGGGAGAAGCTGATGAGGAAGAAATTGAAGAATATAAGGTAAGGAAAAAAAAAAAGAGTTACTTTTCTCTGGTGTTCATGTGTCTCTGAGGGACTCACGAAATGTGTGTGTGTGCATATATAAAAATAAATGCGATGTGTATAGGTACTTTAAAATATCTAGCCCTCAGTGGCATCTCCCTTGACGTCTTCCGCTGCAGAGATCTAAGAGAGGGAGCATGGACACTAAGTGCTGTTCTCTTCGGATGTGGCTTGGGTGCATTGAACTGTACGCGCACCGGAACCCAATGTTTGGAGGCTTAATTTAGCGCTGCTCCTAGGAGGTGGTAGGCCTAGGTGATAGTGCCCACAGGGAATGGCAGTGTGCCGTGGCTGGCTGTCTTGGGTGGGAAGAAGTGATGAAATGTGTACGTGCTTGGGTACACACACACACACAAAATCTTGACCAGAATTCCTTTGTGTCAGAAGAAAAGCTTGCATTTAGCAAGAGGCATGGGCCATTGGATGAGGTACAGGGAGGGTGAGGGTGTCTTCCAACCTGCCTGTTACGTGCAAAGGAATGCAGTCCTGGATGCATGGAAGAAATAACAGATTCTAAGGGAACGGGAGAAAGAGGCTTGGTTTGGGGTGTGCTTTAAGAATCCAAGATATCCAGGACATTTCCGTTTAAAAAACCAAAACAAAGTGCCTCCGTGGTCATTGAAGAATGAGTGGTTGTCAAACTGTCGTACTCTTCATGCCTTTCAAATGCTCATCCAGGAGCTGTTTGACAGCTTTCGTGTTTCATATTTAATGTGATGTTTTGGCTAAGATGAGTGGTAGAGAAAGGAGGTTAAACAAAGGCACGATCATGATACAGCTGTCTTTCTGATGTGCTTTGTGATCTTGTTGCAGCACGTATCCTCCCTCTCCCTTTTTTCGTTGTCCTAATAACCTTGCTTCTGTGGTTAAGTAGAATCAAGGTCAGTGTATTTATGAAATAATGCAGTGTCTGCTGTTCTCTTGGGTGCCTAAAAATAGTGATTTTTTGAAATATGAGGCCTTGATAGTGTTACGTTTGTGTTCAGGTTTGTAAATCTTTCTGTAATAATGTCTATTTTACTTTTGTCTTACTAAAACAAAAAGTTAATGTATGACAGGACATTTTTTGATGACTAATTTTTAAAGTCTATCTGTAAGTGGACAGACATTCTTTTTAACATGCTAAGTGTTAGTCTGTACATCTTGTTTAGCAAACTGATCAAGTCACCGTCTCAAGGGATTCACAGAGTATCTGCACTGTTTGTGAAGTGGGGTTTTTATCTTCACATTAGCAATCAGTTCATACCAGTTTATTTTATTCCTTCACCAAATATGTGGTTAAACAACAAATGGGGTTTTTTTCTATGAAATATATGTGGGTAAGTCACTTCAGTTGGCAAAGTATACGAATCCTACCATTAACATTTCCTCCTTTAGCATAGAGAAGACTTAACCTGAGGTGGGCTGTAACCGCTTGCAAGTGGCCAGACTCCTGCTACATTGTTGAAATTGAAGAACATTTTAATAATACTAGCTTGGACCAACTTCAGTCGAGCAGATGAATAGATATAAGAAACTTGAAACCCCTCAAGTAGAGCATCTATAGTGGGGTCATCAGCTGTTATCTGCAGACACTGCTAATTCCCTATTGGCAAGGAGATGAGAACTTAGTAAACTCCCCTCTGTATCTATGCAACTTTTTCTTTAGTACTTTGAGCCTGTTTAAATTGAGTCTTGTAATATGAACTGAGACAAAAATCTGGGTCCTTATGGTATCAAGCCTTGTTGGATTGTGTTTGATACTCCGTAGAGAAAAGTAGTAATAGACTTAACTGTTAGTGTTGCAGACAAATATTGCAAGTTTGTCAGTTTTGTTAGGAAAATTAGAGGTAAGTATTTCTGATGTAAAGTAACTCGTATGTCTCAAACCCTGACTTGCAGCGTTGGGTTCTACGTGATGGTGTCAGTTAGTCCTTCTGAAGTGGTTTAAAATTTTTGTGCCCTGACTTTAGCTTTAGTGGAAATGAATGTGTCCTCGAACCTCAACTGCTCTAGCTGGAGCCTGAGCATCAGCTGTAATTGCTGGTGAAGGCAGGTTACTGTGAAGATACAACATTGTTGTTACTGCGATGTGTGAGGTCTGCAGGTGTAGAGCGTGTGGACGTGGGCCTGAAACCTTTAAACAAATGTAGTTGGGTATTTTAGAGGATTTCTGTTAGTTTCTAGCGTTCCAAATGGAAAGTGAAGTGAGCTGATGACACCTAAGTGCCTTATGCTGATGTTTTGAGAGAAGGCTGAACAGTGAGATTGACATTTTCAGTATATGGGGGAAGTGTGAGAGTGGTTTTTGAGATGAACGATGAAGTATGTTAACATCTCGGCCATTTGGGAACATCTGATGCAAAAAAGGTGATGTTTTTCATTTTTTTGTTTTGGGGTTTTGTTTCGGTTTGGGTTGTGGGTTTTTTTTGTAGAATAAGTGTAAATTTATAGCAATTGTTCTTAATAAGCATCAGGCTGATATGAAAATAAAGGGCAGCAAGGCTGCTTGTTAAGCTTCCTGCTGGCAGCTTGACTTCTGTCTGGGAGCCTGACTGCATTGCAAACTGTAGAGGTGGGAGATAGGGGAAGAGATGCATTATTGCCAAAAATGAATAATGGATATTTTAAGGTCAGAAAGTTGAATTGTGGTTCTAAAGAACTTCTACAGGACTCTTGTTTTTGTGGAACTGTAACAGCTGTGCTAGGGTTAGTTGAGCTCCCTGGTCTGTATTTGGAAGTGACAGATAACGAGACTAGACTACCTGCTGCCACTCCCAGGCTTTTCATAGCCCTCAGAGTTGTGATTGTCTCTGCCTCTCCCCTTCTCCAGGTGAATTTACTCAGTCGTTTGACCCCGTATAAATGTCTGGTATCAACAGTGCTTTGTGGCAAAGAGTTCTGGAGTTTTAACTTTGTGTGAAGTACAAAAACACCTGTGGTTCCATTTGCTGCCTGCCAGCCTGATTTGATACAGCACTGTTTTACTCTGTTTCTGCAAGCAGTGGCCTGTGAGCTTGCAATGCTTCCATGCCGTTGTTACTTGGTTGAATCATCGTCATTGCTTAATGTTTCTCTAGTCATTTGAAAAAACTATGTGCCTGAATATTGTGGGTAGTTTTTGTTTCCCTAACTGAGCAACAATATACCAGATTTGGAAAACAAGGATGATTAATGTACAAGAACCTAGTGTCTTGTATTACTGTTAATGTCATTCTGTCTTTGCTTTGACTGTGTCCTTTCCCCTTGGGAAGCTGGTGGTGTGGGCTTTGTGGCCACAAGGCTTTTTTTTTTTTTTTTTTTTTTTTTTTTAATATCATTTATGAAGGCATAAAGAGAACTGGGATGACTCAAGTAGGTATCTAACAAGTGCTTATCATCAGAAGGCTAAGAGTTAGAGGAAGATGGAAGGGGGGAAACAGGTGTAAGCTTATGATGGCATAAGCACTTTTTAGTAAAACTCAAGCTTTCAGCTTTTTTTTTTTTGCCTGAATAACACTTGCTGCTGGTTGTCTGCTGTGCATTCCTTTTCCTTGTAAATGCTGCTGCTGTTTCTGATAGTAATCTTTCTCTTTTTGGTCTGGTTAAACAAAAAAAAAGACTGTATCTCTAATTTCTTTGCCTGAATAATGGGGAGGGGGAATCTGTGACCTGTTAATCACAGCAGGCATGTCAGAAGTTTCAGGCATTTCAAAGCTCCAATTTGGAAAGAACGCAGAGCTTATTTTAAGATTTCAACAGCTAGAGGGATCAAAATAGGTAGAATGCTTAATTTTTTTCTTTCGTCATTCTGACAGCCTGCGTAGCATAGGGTGAATGCAGCAGAAATAATCACCTGTTCTCTGCATCTTCTGACTTAAGGTGTGTGTTGGGGGAGAAGTTGAGTTCTCAATGAGAAATCTGGTTCTCCATTTTTTTCTTTTATTTCAGTGTGTTAAAATGTCTTTTTTTTTCAAATATTTCAGCCTTGAGACTGCTTTTCTCCTCGCGTGAAGCACTATATTAACTGATCAAGATTTCTGTTGTAATCAGTAACGTATGAAAGAGCATATGCATCCTACTAAAATATGGTAGATTATATTTAGTGGTTCTTCAGTTTTATTTATATATAATGTATATACTAGATTGTTTCAGGAGCAATGGGAAAACAGAAACTGACATGAAGAAGCGAGTCTCTCTTTTGTTTCTCTTCTCTCCGAGTTCTATGTTGGGTGTTCAGAGAATGTCAATGTGACAGATCTCTGAATTCCAAAAATCTGATGAAAAAATAGTTGGTGACACACTAACTGGGGGAAAAAAATTGCAATACAATTCCTGTTTTCTGTAAATTTTGAGACTACAAAATGGGAATTTTAAAGTTACTTTTAAGGACAGTCCAAATGAAATACTGGCTTGTACCATGTGCTGCTTCTGCAAAGTGTGGACTTTAACAGATTTATAGAGAGAAGATGGTTTCAGCTTCTAAGGTTGGAACGTAAGAGATGATTGGATATAAATGTTCAAAGGTTCTACTACAGAATAACTTCAATAAAATAAATCATTAGCTTTAGTCCAAGGAGTGAAATTTTGGGGGGACAAAAATTAAGAGTTCTACACCTTGTAAAGCACTGCCTACACTGTCAGGGTCTAGAAATGAAGGGTTTCTTATTTTATTCTTCTTCCAGAGGCCTTTCCCAGTAACACTGTCCTGATTAATGAGAGAGGCAGACCTTTTTGGGAATAGGTAATTTTTTTCCCCCTCCAAAACTGGAGTTGGAAACATTCGTGATCTGCTGTTGTAGGAGTTCTGTTTGTAGACAGCTCACTTCTTTCCTTAAGAAGCAGAATCATAATAAGGAGAGAAACAGCATACTTGTAACACCTGCTTTATTTCCAAGGATGAAGTAGAGCTGCAGCAAGATGAGGAGAACCTGCCATATGAAGAAGAGATTTACAAAGATTCCAGTACCTTTCTTAAGGTGAGCTCCTTTTACAATTTTAAGTCTACTCAAAGCTGGCATAGTTGTGTTAAACTATTTTTGCAATTGATGGTGTTTGAAATACAGCTTTAAAGGCTGAAGTAATTGACTGGAATTCACAAGTACGGAAGTTTCCTGTGAAAGATATGACTGCAGCTAGTGCTTACATTGATCTGACTAAAGATCTGGGTCAGCTTACAATGAGCTATAGTAATGGTGGGCCTGATTTGGAACTAAAAACACAGGGACGGTCTTGACTAGCGTAGCTTGTCAAGGCATGTTGAAAAGAAACAGAAAAAAAAAAAAATCTGTAACTTTCTCATTTATCAAACTCATGTAGTGTGGGTGTATGCCCAGTTATCTCCCTGTTGCTCTCTCTGAACTCCCTTTTGTTCTCCAGGGTACTCAGAGCTTAAATCCCCACAACGATTACTGCCAACACTTTGTGGATACAGGACACAGACCCCAGAACTTCATCAGAGATGTTGGTATGTCACAGTCAGTAACTGTTTGAAGATAACTCATTTTATTCGATAGTACTTCTTTTTCTTCCCCTTTTTAATTCCTTGCAGCTGCTGGGAAATGTAGACGCACATGTACTTCATAGTTTTGTCTCTGTGTGCATACATACCAATATATACATTTATATGAATTATTTTATTTTTAATCAGTTAGGAGGTGGTTATTACCAAGGCTCTTCTTACTCTTTGTTTTATTTGAAAGTATTTAACCGGGAAGACTTTTTCAAAAGTAAGCTCTTTTGGTTCCACAAAGTAGATGAGTCTAGTGAGCAGATCTTGAGACCTTTGGCGGTTTGAATAACTGACAGTTCAGCTGTTTCCTGGACTGTTTTGCCTCCAAGAATGCATGTAGCATGTAAAGAACGGAAAATACTTCAGTCTGTAAACAATATGGATAGTATTTACCAGCTAAATTATGTAACTGCTGAAGGCCCAACAAATTACTCAGTTTAGAGGATGTTATTTTTTAAGTTTATGTTTATCCAGCTATTGCTGAACTTGAACTTAATTAGAATTAATCTTTCTAAAACCAAGGTACAGTTTGGTCCTTTTTGCAGCATGGGTGCCTCGTAGTTATTTGTTTTTTAAAAAAAGCAGGACACCTGCCTCTTCAGTTTTCTGCAACAGTTCTCTGTATTTTAGCAAGTTTAAAATTGTCAGGGCAAGTGTGTCATGTTTATAGATGCCAGCCCAAAGAGGTTTTGTTTGCCTATTGAGGCGGTTAGTTTGTTTCTTCTCTATATTTTGTGAACGCCTCTGTGAAACACATCTGGATGTTTAGTATGAAATACAGGCTGTTTTGACTCGGTTATGTCTTTATCTGAAAAGCATCTGGGCTTCACAGTTACGTACTTGAAATAGTTATGCACTGTTCTTTGAAATAAGATGAGTACGAAGAAATCGCAGCCCATGTTATTTACTCTGACTTTTTTGCTGCATAAAGAATTGGGAAGGGACAGGACAAACTGTTACACGAGTGTTAATATGGAAGTGCACGTGTCAGCAGCAGTTAGTCTAGACCCTTTATTAGAGATGAGGTATGCCAAGTTGCATATTGGTTGGCAGACATTTTCTACGTGCAGATGAAGACTCTGCTTAGGTGCTACTTCGTAATCAGGCACGACCCTGCAAAAAGCTGTGGGGAAGTAGTAGTTGCAGAACACCCAGTTACATCTTTTTTGGTGTTGCTGTTGGAAGAGAGGGAGACCTGTGGGGTTTTTGTTTGGTTTGGTTTGGTTTTTGTTTGTTTGTTTAAAGAAAACAAACAACTGAAGTCAGCTTGATTGAAAATTCTTTTACATCTATTGCTTAGCTGCTGATAACTGGTCAGCAGTATTTGACTTGCACTGGCTGGAAGCAACACAGCAGTGGAAATCAGAAGAGCACAGTGGCGTTTTTAAGATGTTATGTATTTAAGGAAAAAAGTGAAAATAACTTTTGGGTGTTTTATGCACATGTAGTAAGAGATAAAAAGGTTAGATACTAAGAGTTTTGCTTTTACCAGGGTGATGCTGGGGTTGGGAAGTTCAAATTCAAATAAGGAGAGGGATGAAGGGGTGTGGGGTTTGTGGGTTTGGGTGGGGGTTTTTCCCCCCCGTGGATTAGGACCACTTAAAGTTGTAAATTTAAATGAACATGAAGCTTTGTAAATAACTCCTGCTAAAGTTGAACTGGTACTGCTTGGGAGGCGGGAGCGGTACCTTTTTGGTTTGTGCCGATACTACTGCTAGCAATAACAAAACATACTGTTTCTACTTACTTTTTTTGAAGGGGGAATGTAATATACTGAAAAGATTGCTTGGTTTTTTTTTTTTTCTTTTTTTAAAAAGTTTGCTGCAGAAAATTTAATTAGGGTTCTCCCTTTTGCATTCTGTACGTACGAAAGGTTTGAATATTAACATAATAAAGCTGAGTCTAGGAACCCAGTAAATAAATACACATGTATTCAAACCTTCATGACTGACACCAGAGTACCAAATCTCAGCATAAGGCTTGCCTAAGGGAACCAGCCACACCCCAGCTGCTGCCTTGGAAATAGTCTTCAAAGGTTAAATAAGAGTATTCTGTAAATGAATGTTAATTAGATCTTAATATAAACTTACGGATGGTGGGGATAACAACATAACTTTCTCTCATCATTCTGGCACTTTCTGTGTAAATGAAAGTTTGTTTCCTTCTGATGAAAGCAGTTGTGAACTCCTGATGGCTGTAGTGCTCTAGAGAAGATGAGAGCACAGGCACTGCATTCAGTAACAGCCGTAATTAACGGGGTGAAGGCACGAGGCTTTTGTGAAGTACTGAACAAAAAACTGCTTTGAAGGGTTTGGTTTGTTCTAACAACAATTAAAATGAGACTAAGTATTAACATCTGGACCTATTCAGAACATTGGACAATGCTTAATTGACACAGATTTACTCTCTAAGTAGTTGTTAACTTCATGTTTTCTTCTTCTTAGGCTTAGCAGATAGGTTTGAAGAATATCCAAAACTTAGAGAGCTCATCAGATTGAAGGATGAGCTGATATCTAAATCTAACACTCCTCCCATGTAAGTGTTCCTGTGGAAAATGCCTTTCTTCTTCAGACCTGTTTGAAGTTAGCTGTCTGCTTTGCAAATCTCTATCTTTAGCACCTGCTCAGAATTTACATTTTCTATTTCTGTTCGTATATACAAATTAAGCAATTGAAACTTCAGAAGAATAAAATCAGTTTGTTTCTGTTAGTTTAATCTACATGTTTAATATAGTATATAAACTAGATTTTCTTTCCAGTGTGTGATTATTTATGGTGTCTAAAGCTTTGGTTTTTAAGACTGAACTGTCAACTGATTGGGCTGTAAGCTTTAACTTGGGAACTAAAAGAACATCATATGATTGTGAATCTCGTGCTGTCACGCAGTTTACAATAAGAAGAAAAGCTTTAAAAAATCGGCCTCTTAATATAACCTTAGTTGTTCTTGTAACAGCTTTTTTTTGTATAAAGTTCAGCTATTATCTTAGTACCCATTAATCAGATGTTACTTTGTAGTTTAAGACCAAAGAAAGTTTAGGCTGGCTGGAAGTGATTTGTCCTATTAACTTTGAATTACCTCTGAGTTTTTGCTGAACGTCAGGCACAGTATGAGCATGCAGCATGTTACCCCCAGGGATTTGAACCTATCTGAATGTGAACCTAATGCTGAGCTGTACTGAGTAAAATAGCATTATTTCATGATAGTCACGTGAAAAACTCTGATTTAGTTGTCTGAACAACTGAGATACAAACTGCAAAACTCGACTTGCTATTTTCAAGTTAGATGTGTTTTGGCGTTCTTAGCCTTAAAGCACAAACGGGGAAAAATAGTAATCGAATGCTGCCTTCTGGTAACACCAAATACACTTACAGAATAATAATCCCTTCTAGACACTTTCTTAGGAAGGGGAAGGTGGTCTGCTAATCAGCTTTTTTAAGGTTAAAGGTTTTGAGGGGAGGGCAGTGTAATTTTTGTGTCGGTGATACAGCAGTGAGTGGTGGGCAGCTGTGGTGGCCCGTCCTAAGAGTGCGTTTGAGCGTGTGTTTAATAAAATCAATGTGTGGGGCAATTATGCTTTCGTTATAGGGATAGAGAAATGAATTTCTGCTATAGGAAAAGTAACCCCATTTCCAGTATTCAGAATCTTCTGAACATAACATATAATAAATGGCAATTCTAAAAATATGCCACTTCCCCAAGTGAAGCAAAATAAAAGTCTGTTAGCCAGTCTGTTTGCTTCTTAAATGTTGATGTTTTCTCCTATATAGTCCATGGACGTACAGAAAGTTCAGTGATTCCGTACTAGATACTGTTGTACAGTCTGTGTGGGCATCTGTTTCCTGCTTGCTAAATTAGAATCCTAAACACTGTTTATTGAGAGAAAAACTACTTTTTAAAAAAATCTGATGCAACAGCATCCAGCCTAGGTTAAGTGAGAATGCGTTATGGATTTAGTGCATTTGAGCTGTATGAACTACACAGGAGACCTTACTCTTAACTGGCTACACAGAAGTGCTGTGTGGAGTATAATTTTCAAACCACTGTTGTAACTTGTCCAAGCAATCTATTGTCTTTTGTTTAAACAGGTACTTGCAAGCAGACTTGGAAGCTTTTGATATTAGGGAACTGAAGTCCAAATTTGATGTGATTCTTCTGGAACCACCACTGGAAGAATACTACCGAGAGACTGGCATTACTGCCAATGAAAAATGCTGGACCTGGGATGATGTAGGTATTTTTCTTGCTGCAGAAAGGATTTCAAACATGTACTTAAGCAAAGAGTTAGAGGATTTAATTTGGTATCAAAATGTTTTTAGAGATGTTTCTTAAGGAAAAATGGATTTTTTTTTCCTTTTGTTTTTTAAAGAAAAGTCTAGATTCTTATAGAAACTAAGTTTTATATTGTATGCATGCCTACACTATTTGTGTTAAAAGACCTTTTTTTTTTCTTTTTTGAGGAGTTTAATGAATTAAATATACCTTTTTCTTCTCCCTAAGCCTGGTTGAAAACTTAACTCTAATAATAGCAGGTTTTCTCCCTCTCCCCAAATTCCATGAGTTTTCTTTTCTGTTTGACTTTTGCTGTTGAAATTCAGAATATCCATTGTAAATATTCCCTTGTTTCCTGAAATTGTCAAAAGAGATTTTTAAGGCATGCTTTTTAAGATGCTGATCTCGTCAAAAGAGTAGATGAGAATGCTTCACTGACATACCTCCTTTCTCCAAAGCGTTGATTGGGTAGGAAATTTTAACAGTCAAACCAAGTGTAATCCTAAGAAACCGAACAGAATAGATAAACCTTACTTGTGGATTTTTATTCTCATATTTATGTATTCCCTTACTGTTAGTCACGTCAAAGGGTTTTTTTTGAAGCCATGTTGATTTCTGACCCCTTTTTGGGAACAAGGAGAAATCTTAATGTGCAAGATGTGATCTTTTTTTGAGATCGCTGTTGGTGGTCTTGGTTTATTGTGCTCTAGCAAACATTTAGAGAAAAAAATTTAAAGTGCTCCCTGTAGTAATGCATGTAGGTGCTTGTAAAGAAGGAAACACTCAAGAGGTATTGATAAGTAACTCCATTCTGTACCCTCCCCTTTTCAATAAAGTCAGCTCTGGGAAAGCAAGGTGAGGGCTGGAGGCTATGAAGTGCTGGATGTCACCAAGCACAACAATTTGATGACACACTCTGCTGCCAAGTTGCCCTGTCCTTCAAGGTTGAACTGGAGAATTCCTTCACTTGGGCATTGAATAAAAAACTTGTAACGATAATGTAAAATAGCAATAAATTGGCTCTACTCTACATATCTACACTTTACTCATTAAAAAAAACCTGAACATCAAACCTACAAAAAAGCCTCATAAACCAAAAGAAGCCCAATCCCACCCTCACAACAAAACAGACAATATGTAGTAGAGAGGAATAGCTGATGAAAAAATGTTTGCATAACCATGCCAGGAATTCTTCAGTTCAGGCATATGGTAGAAATATGTAACTAATAAATACCTACTACTACTTAGAGACCCTATTTGAAAGGTATGCAGGACTGTGTCTGCATTCGCAGCAAATTTGTCATCATATGAGTGAATCAGTAGATTGAAGCAGTTGTTGCTAAGATTTTCTTACCTGCATTCTATTTCCAAACGGGAAGGGGGATGATGGTGTTACTTTAAACTAGATTTAGTTTGTCTTTACTTAGGCTGGAACCTGCGCATGCATAACTTCAGAAGTGAATTAGTCAAACTAAAGGATCTTGAGAACAAAATACAATTCAATCCACCTTTAAGGACTGAATTTGAAAACAAAGGCATTCGTATAAGAGAGTGGGTAACTCCATGTTAAGGAATAGGTAGCTTTCTGCTAGCCATAATGTTATATCAGGCAAAAATGGTGTCTGGCAGTGTTCCCTGGGGGGAAAAAAACATTCTGTCCTAACAGGAAAACTGTAAGTGTTGGAGGCAGGAGTCATCCTCTTAGTTGGGAGCTATATCCTCTTAGAATGGCTTCTACTGCGTTATTGTTCTTCGTGATGGCACTGAATGAAGCTTGATTTGATGTGTTAGCATGTTACAGATGAATCTTTTCAACTTGTAATGAGTAACAGATGCTTTGCATCTGAAGTTATTTCATCCTGAATGTTACTCATTTGTCATTGTTGAACGACTGTCCTGATAAATTCTTGCTGCTTTTTTCCTGAAAGTGAAAATGTAGAGAATGTCTTTCCTATATCGTAATAGGGATTAAGCTGGGGTTTTTTTATATATGTCTTCACAAGCTTCACAGAAGTAACTCCAGGGCTGAAAAGAAAGAGTGCTGTTGCTCTGTTATTAAATCTTTTTGCTACCAATGGAATGATAAAATGAAGCAGAGGTTTAGGGGGAAAAATCGTGTGGGTTGTATTAGTCTTTTAAGTCTAGAATTTTCTACACAGACAGAATTTCTGTTAAAAAGAATAATTAAGCTGGTCATCAGCAATGTTGAAAACGTGCACTTGGGTACTGATAAGGTAACTTTTATAGCATACTGTCTGGAAAACAATTTTAAGAGGGTGGCCGTCAATGCTATACAGGCTAACATCTTTAATAAAAGTGCTTCCTGATGGTTTCTGTGATAATGCTTCAACACTTATTAAGTATTCTTCCTGATACAATTGGTGATTTATATTTAATTCAGAAACACTTTTATTACTATTATTATTAGATCATGAAATTGGAAATTGAAGAAATTGCAGCCCCAAGGTCATTTGTGTTTCTGTGGTGCGGTTCAGGCGAGGGTCTGGATCTTGGCCGAGTGGTAAGATGATGTTTTAATTCAATTTATCAGGGCTAGGCTTAAGAGTTTATTTTCATCGTTGACTTTTTCTGTATAGAATTCTCAACTGTAACTGCTGAGAGGTGTTTTGTTACTGTGGTAGAAGATGTATAATTTTAAGTGGATTAAATAAATTTAAGCGTATGTGGCATTAACTGTTTAGATACTGTTATTTTCCAGATGAGTCGCTGTGACTGTGTGAGAAAGCATAATTCTATAGGGTCTAGAAAGCTGTACTACTGCCTTGTTTTCGATGTATGCATGTTGCCATAGGAGCAGGTTGCCATGTTGAGTGCATTTACAACTTTTTTTTTTTTTTAACAGAGGTCTCAATAGTTTTCTTCCAGAAATATTCATGCCAGTAGAAATGTGCTACTCTTTCATAAAGTGAGAGAAAATTGTGTGCGTAGCACTGCTTATTTTCAGAAAACCCCTGGAGTTTAAATGGGTTTACTCTTAGTGAGCTCTATGAAGTTTTATTCCCCTATAAGATCTTGGAGTTTTAGAGTCATCTTTCTGTATGCCAGGTATGCTTGTCCTGGGCATGGTGCAGTAAGAATTTCCAGTTGGCTCTTGCTGCGCTGAAACATTCTTTGCTTAGTTCGAGCGGTGCTTTCTATTAAAACAAGATGGCATTTGTTAAAGGACAATGTGGTTACTAATCTGTTTGCTTTATCTGCCTTTCTTTCTGAGGTTGGTTAAGTTGGTATCTCTTGGTATCTGTTTCGGATAGATTGACTCTGTTCACAGATGCGTTCGTTGTAGCTAGACAGTTCTTGAACACAGCAATAGCCAAATGAGCTGGAGTCCTTAATGCCCAATTTCCTCCCTTTCCCAGACTACACTTACAGGAACTAAGGATTAAAAAGTCATGTAAGTTAGGGTGGGGTGGGGGGTTTTGGGTAGTTTTTTTAACAGATATAGAAAAAGCCACAAAATGGCAGCAAAGGCTTTTTGGCTATTTATCTTCTCGTTTACAGAATTTTACATTGACGTGAAAAACTACCAGAGTGCAGGTATTAGTTGAGACAAGGCCAAGGCAGCTGATCACTGTGGTGTTCAGACTGGTTTTGATTAAATGTAAGTGTCACTAGGTAAAAATGAGTGCAGAGTTCTGTAGCAGATCTGTGCAGTGGTTACAATTTAAAATTAAAAAAAAAAAAAAAGACAAGTCAATGTGCACATAAGCCTTTTTTTTTTTTTTGGGCAGCTTGACAAAACATAGTATAGTCATGCCAGTAAACTGAGTGTTTCATTCATCTGTGACAAATTTCTCTTCCAGCTGTGCTTTAAGAAAAGTCAAATACCTATATGAGTGTTCAGTTCAGGTTACTTAAGTTTTTGATGTAGTGTGAACTGTTTTATCTGTCTATAATATTTAGTGTCTACGCAAATGGGGTTACAGAAGATGTGAGGACATTTGTTGGATTAAAACGAATAAGAACAATCCTGGCAAGACCAAGACTCTAGACCCTAAGGCTGTTTTCCAAAGAACCAAGGTAAAGGTTTGGCTCAATTCCTCCTGTGTTCCCATCCTGTCTGTTCATGCTGATGAAACACCCGGTGCTCCACAGCAGTTGGTGACATGCTTTCAGGAAAGCAGGCATGAGACTTCGGAGTTCTCTTCTGCAGAGTAGTTATATGGAAATAAACATATTCATAGGATGAATGATGAACTTCTGTCCCCTTCTTGACTTGAGTCAGCATGAGGTATAGAAGTTTCATCTACATTTAACAGTGCTTGGTAAATTTCTGTGATAGTCCTCTAAATGTGATACTCATTTGAGCCTTGTTGAAATACAGGTAGCTGAGGAGGGTTCATAGACTGATGGAACAAGAATGAAATCCTGAGCAGGAAGATGGAAACCGAATAGAAAATGTTACCGTATGTTGCGATGGTTTTCATTTCTGCGTTGTTTCAGTTGTGGGTGAATGGTAAATACACAGTTAGTCCATCAGCAATACCTTCTGTGTAAAACGCAAGATCCTTTCCAGATGAGAGGAGAAAACTTGCTGGCAGCCTTTTGAATGGAACTAAACTTAGCAGTAGAGTTTGACTAAATTTAAAGTCAAAAGAAGTCTTTAAAACTGTAGATTATAAATGGATGTAGTCAGAAAAAGTAACTCTGGAAGACTGGCTGATGGTTCTAAATACGCACGTGCAGGTGTGCGCCCAGAGCTTGAACCAGGTAGGGGACTGTTAGGGGCCCACAGCTCAGTCAGCATCTCCTGACTTCCTGAAGATGACTAAAGCACAAGTGACAGAATCGGTCAGCTTGGCTTAAATTAAACGGTTTCTTAGGGATGTAGTGTGGAGGACATGTATTGAAAAAGTTGCAGAGGAAAAAAAAAAAAGGTATTCTGATTTAAGAGACTCAAACGTATGTTATTCCAAAATCTAGACAAATGTAGGTAGGATTAATAAAGAATTGTTGTGGGTACATGTGGGTGTAACTGTGGCAGTTTTACTGAATACAGAGAGTTGGCTGATGACTTAATAATTTAAAGTGTCGTTAACCTCGGGACTCATTCCACAGCCATTAATCATTCATTAGTATTAAACATCCTTAACTCTGTCTCAGATTTGCCATTTTTTAGGAGTATGAACTTCCCTTTAAGATCTCTGGAATCTTTCTTTGACTTGCATTTACATTAATCTGAAGTTTGTTTGAAAGTGTGTTTTATTAGTTATAAATATTTATAAGTATAAATATAGTATGTTTATTGCATATCGTATTGCAACTATGTGCAGCTCACTCATGAGGGAGAGGTTAGAACTAACAGGAGGATTTGGGGGGGACTTTATGTCTTTGTTTAACAGAGGAGAATAGTTTCTGGTATTAGATAATTTCTCTGTTTATTGAACAAGGGTTGGGCTGAGGTCACTAATTATAATAAACATTGAAAACTGTGCTAGCTTATTCTGACTAAATAAATAGCCTGTTGTGCAAGATGTATTTACCAATGATTACAACAGCAAATGCTATCCTGTTATGTTTAGTTTAGGCATCTCTATAGATGGATGCTTTGTGCTGTGCCACCTGCTATAGAATCTAAGGTACTAATGAATGACATTCCATGTGTTAGGAAAATAAAATGGTTTTGGATAGTTCTTCTAAAGGCTAGATTTACGAGGCTTTGCTTGATGGGTAGTTTGCTTAGCAGTATTGTGCCTTTTGATTTAGTTAAAGACAAGGTCCGAAAACCCTGTAGCTTGGGTGCAGTCGATCAACTGCATAGATTCGATAGGTCACCTATCATATTTATTCACCAACTCTTAAAACCCTTGCCAAAAATCTGGAAATGATTACATAGTCTTGTCTGTGAGGTTTTTTTAGAGCCATCTGGTGGCGCTTAGTGAATCGGTGTTTTATGATACTGGGGAAAAATCGCTCATCTGAGCTTAATATTGTCAGAAACAGAACTCTGAAATGAATATGTAGAACCCTCTTTTCATCCTGTACCAATTATGGTGATTCCTCATTCATAGATTCTACATACTAGTCACTTAAATTGATCTGTAATGTTTTAGAGGAAAGGAAAGAAATGCATGTTACAGTTAAAGAACATTTTTAATGCTGATGGAGTTGACTGAGAGTGTGTTGACAGTTTGATAGTGGTTTTACTTTTTTGATGCAGTGATATCTTCTAGAAAGGAATCTGAGGGTGAAGGCTACTTTTGTAACAGAGGTACAATATGAAGAAGTACACCTTATTTTCACTGACTGGCTGTTTTATGACTAAGAACTTAGAAAATTATTTGTATGAATAAAGTTAGGATCAGCATGCTGATAGAAGTATTAATCATAATTGATAACTATTCCCTTACTCTTGCCATCACCTTGTACTGTCTTCCCTTGTGGTGATTTCTCAGCCTTTCCAACTTAGAGCTCTAACTTTTCTGTAACTGAAGGTTACAGAAATGTCTTATCTCAGCCTCCTGTTGAGTTTTACAACTTTGTAGTGTAGTTCATCAAGCCAGATAGCTTAAACCACTCTCTGCTTTGCTTTCAGAAGGCTCTTTCGGTAGCTCCAGCTTGTTCTGTTCTTCTAGTTCCCTTTACTCTGTGTAAGAGTCAGACCTACTCCGCCTAGAATTTCCCTTTCTCTCCATTGCACTCGAACCAGGGCCGTCTGTGCTGTAGCAGTATGTGCGGCATGTGACGGGGACTCTTCTGTGTTCTGTGTGCGTAGGAGCACTGCCTCATGGGCATCAAAGGAACTGTGCGTCGCAGTACGGACGGCGACTTCATCCATGCTAATGTTGACATTGACCTAATCATCACAGAAGAGCCTGAGATTGGCAACATAGAAAAACCTGTAGAGATTTTTCACATCATCGAGCATTTCTGCCTTGGACGACGACGTCTTCATCTTTTTGGAAGGGACAGTACAATTCGACCAGGTAGCTGTTATGTTTATTTCTGTCAAATAGATACATTTTCGTTTACTTTAATAACCCTCTTCCATCACCTGAGGCCACCTGATGGGTTATGATGGAAGCTGAGACAATAATGACTAATCCTAACGCATGATTCTCAGGGAGATACATTTTTGGTTTATGTGAAGATCTGCCAGTCACAAAGTAGTGTTGTTTGGACCAATTCTGTTAATTTTTTCAGAATTTTTTGTTTTTTGTTAACCGATATTTTCGCCTGTTCATGTGTTTACACTTCTCAGAAGCATGATTTCTTTCTCTAAAATGATTTTAAATCGCTAAGAGCTTAGTGCTGACCCTGTTGCCTGTATCTGAAGACCCAGTCTCTTACACTGGGTGCTGCATCTGGCATTATGAAAAAAGTGTGTAGAAATACAGTGAGATTGAAGGTAACTGCATTTTGTTTGTTTTGATGGTCAGGCCTTTCAATTTATTGTGCGTAAGTGATGAAGGACTTTCACTGCAGGAGAATACAGATTAGAAGAACGAAATCTATTTTGACACCTTTCTAGACTTTTGTGTCAGTTGTCAGTGATGTTTCTGCCCTAAAGCCTAAGGTGAAATACAATTCAACAATCCTGTTTCTTTCAACTACCAATGAATGCTTGAATTGACAGACTTCATACCTCACGTTATGGATAGCGTAGTCATACTTCACATACTGATGGATACTGCGAGTGTTGGTCTCTGAACAGGTTATGGTAACAGCATGCCCTTTGCAAAATAAGTGGGGGGGGTCTGAGTGGGGCAGGTGCCATAGCTGCGCTTGCTTTAGGTTCGTTCAGCA